AATTATTACTCTCCTTCATCCCATGGCTAGACAGAGAAGCCCGTACAGACTCTTCTCTTAAAGAATCTCTTCTTTCACCTCCTCGATCTTGCGGAGATGTCAAAATTTCACTTCTTTGGTGTAACAAAGAAGCCAAAATCTCTATCACCTCCTCGGTGCGGCAGAGTACCAAAATCTCTATCATCCCCTTTGTGTGGTGAAGTATCCAGAATCCCTTTCTCCTCCTTGGTGCAGTGGAGTAGTTAATGTTGCAAATATGGGGGCCCAAGTACTGTAATTTTGATGATAATAAACATTATTATTTTCTTATCACTGTTATTCTTATATATATGTTTCGTTGTCTTACTCACTAACATTTCAGGTCCACAAGTTCACTGACAATGTTAATCAGTTCAAGATTGGGTATACTACGGTTGAGTCTGTCTGCAATTTCAATTTCAAGTACTTTCTTTTTTGAGTCAAATCATATATCTGGTAGACACTAAGTTGAGTAACCTTGCACACACACACTCAAGGGAGTGAGTTGGTGAGTTAGTGTAATTTTTGGATTTTGAACTTATCATATAGTATGATTTATATCATACTAGACGATAAGTTAAAATAGAAAACCATAATTAGGGGGCCTTTGTTAATTAAGAGTGATTAAGCTAATCATACTATACGATCCATATCATAGAGGATGATCAGTTAAGATTATGAAAAATAGTTGTCAATCATAATTTAGGTAGTATTTTAATATTCAAATTTTGTTCTAATCATACAAGACGATGTTAATCATCCTGGATGATTTATGACAATTATGCCTAAATTGATCATCTGATTAGGGGATTAGTTATGATAAAATTGCTCGATCAGATCGAACAGGATGATCGGTGATGATTGTATTGGACGGCCCGAGATATATATGGGATGATACTTGATCATCCTGCATCATCCCAGACAAAAGACCATGATTTTCCTCTAATCTTATAGGGATATATTCCTGGATGACCCGAGCGATGTATGGGACGATATTTAAATTGTCGCCCATCATCGCCATTCATACTAGACGATCAGTACAGTATCTTGAACTAATCATATAGTACATTCATAAAATTATACTGGATAATCAACACAAATACTTGACCTGATAGTATAGAATAATGTAGATTGTACTGTCTGAAAGGACTATTTTATACTATTCATACAAGACGATCTATTGATCGTACTGAATGATCTTTGACGGTAAATTGAAAATTAGAGCTTATTTTGGATTCTCTCTATTGAATCTCTTATATTGTCTTGTGAGAGATCTTTTGCTATTGAATTGATCTGAGAGAGAGCTTAGATACGTAGAGAGAAAGAACTTTGGGAGAGAAGAAAGGGCAAGAACCTTGTGAGGGGGAGTTGTGAGGGATCCACAAAGGTTACTCTAAGCATGGTTTCCATATCTTCTTCAAGCTACTTTCCTGGTTCCTTAGTGGCTCTGGGGGAGACTTTATTCAGCATCAAATAAAGGTTCTCTGCCTACTCCAGGAGGAAGTAAAAGGATTTAGGTTCTCTGCCTACTCTAGAAGGGAGTCAAATGATTCAGGTTCTCTACCTTCATGAGAAGGTTGAAAAAGATTCAGGGTACTCTGCCTCACCGAGTCGGTGGAAGACATTTTTGTAAAGGCTTTTCCGCCTAGCTATGGGGGCTAAAGGAGAGACACTAAGAGGTTTAGTGCAATACTCGGAGGAGGTATCCGAGGAGTGGACGTAGGTTAGATTTTACCAAACCACTATAAATTCCATTGTGTTCGTTCTTTTACTTTTCTGCATTTTAATTTCAGCACTTTTCTATGATTTACTATGTGGTTTAGAAAACTCTGGTTTTGTTATTGTGATACTGAATTGCTTCTGCGTCAAAAGTTTTTCATTTTATTAAAGAATTTTTAAATTACCAATTCACCCCCTCTTGGTTAGCCTCGGGCTAGTTCTTAGAGGTTTAACAACCTTCACCAACTTTCAGTTGAATCCCTTTCACCTCGTAAGTATGACAAAGTAGTCAAAATCTCTTTCACCTCCTTGGTGCTGCAAAGTATTTAGAATCCCTGTAACATCCTTGGTGTGAAGGAGTAGCTGAAATCCCTTTCATGTCCTCAGTGCAACAGAGTACCCATCATGCTTTGACACGAAAGGCTTCTTCAAAGATCTTCTTTTAAGATAAATACTAACAAACCTTGGGAGCTTAGGTGCAAGTTGGTAAGAGCAACCACATGAAAACTCCTCTAACACTCCCTTGAATCGCATAAGAATCTTCTCCCTCCCATACAACCTCACCCTTTCTCTCCTTTACTCAATGCTCTCTCTTCAACACTCTCATAAAAGAAACATATATCTAACTACAAAAAGACCCTTGCTATGATTATAAAGAATATATATATATATAAGAGAGTTACAAAAAACTCTAATTTGAAATTCTGTCTACTCTATTCGTACAGTATGATTAGTTCATTACCATCATAGATCAGCCTGTATGAATATAAATTATATTATATGATTATAAATCATATTATATGATCAATTCAAATTAAACATTTAATCGTGCAGGGTGAACCAAAGTTCATCCAGAGTGTCCACGGGTGGTTCGTAGAATATGATACATGATCAAACAATATGATTTATAATTAATATAATCTAATTTGATTCCTTAATATCTAAACTTAAATTAGGAAATGTTAATTAACTATCATATAGTAAGAAAAGGTTCGTATGATATAAATTGTTCAATTTTTAAAATTAAATTTATATATTTTAATTTGAATTCGATGGCGGGGTTGCTAAATTAGCTAATCATTCAGTATGATGTGTTGTTCATACAATACGATTAGTTATAACTCAAATTTATTTCTCTAATTTAAAATGCACATTTTAATTAATTCTTTTGAACTGATCGATAATATAATTAATAAAATATTTAAAATATTTATTTTATGATATGGATCGTATAATATGAGTAGTTTGAGAGCTACCTTTCCTGATTCGTTTGAAGAAGTTTGGTTGCTCTCAAATGTGAGAGCTATTGACCTCATTTTTGTATTAGGGTAACACACTTTTTCTAGCTCGATGAAACACTGTTATTTCATTTGCTTATTTCTTTCTTTCTTCTTTTACATAGGTTGCATTTGCTTTAGAGAAAATGGATAAGAAATATTTTACATCACAGTTAAATTTGATCATTTTGGTTTAATTGTGATACATAAAAAATTAATTTTATGAATGAAATTTTAACTTATGTATTTCTTATGTGCTTTTGCTGAAACCCAAGGAAAAGCTAAAGTAAAACCCGAAGCATGAATTACATGGTTGTTCATTTTCTCCTCCATCAAACAAATGTGGAAAGCTATTTTCAATTCATGTTCTTTAATATCTCCTTTTCCATTTCATTTTATTTCCTCTCTCTCAACTCCAAACCAAATGGAGCTATCCTGGGTTGTGGTAATAAAAATTTTGTTTATTAATCATAACAATAGAAAAAGCAACTCTATTTTTTGAATAAGAATTACCCTCTATACCCGATCAAATCATTGAATTTTTAACATGATCTATATTATATATATCATTATAAATATATAATGCCCAACATATTCTTATATGTCAATCACATCACTCTTATTTATAATGTCATATAAAATGAGTTCAAAATGCATTGACTTTGTCGATATAAAAAAATGATATGTTTGAGAATCGATTAAATTGGTTAGTGATTCTAACTGATTTGTCGAAATTTCCTTGATTGGCATTCATTTTTTTGATTCCCTGTTAAACTGAGTCCGCTACTTTTATGACCCTTGCAGTTCATTTCTTCGTGAGGTGTATGATGATCAACTTTATATTAATTTATGAAAAGTGGTGGACCTTCCAGCAATGTATCCATGAGTCTGTTATTTTTCTCATGCAATTGTAGTCTTTTAGTGAGTGAGAGTTGTAGTGGGTCATTGACAATAATGGGTCATTGATGTTGTTGTTGTATATTTCTCATCATTTAGACTAACAAGATTGTTTCAATTCTTTGTTGCAGGCGCACAAGGATCTCAAAACACCATTTTTGATGCCTGGGTGCAAAGTTACTGACGATTATGGGATTATGATTGTGAGTTATTTTCTTTTGTATCTTGTAGAATAGCAGTGTGGGGATTATCAGACATCTATAGTATTATTATTGCTTGTTGCAGGAGATGATTGATGAATATTTTAAACTAGCTTTGTGATTGGAACATAATGTTCTGGATAAACCACAAGTAGTTTTTAGCCAATTTGTTTATAAGCATGCTAGGAACTTGCCATTATTTTAAGGAGCCATAGCTGCAAATATTTTGCAATAAATTTATAAGAATTAGTTGTTGGTATCTCAAATTTACTTGAACTAGGACATTTATTTCAAATGAGAAGCAGGTAGTTCTAGAAGGACTCATTATTAGCATTATCTGAGTGCTACTTAGTTGGATATCCCTATTAGTATAACGATGATAATGGTAATGGCGTTGAATGCTGATTTCATTTTCTAGGGGCATGGTTGCTTCTGGTTTTTCTCCCTTACTCTCACTTAGAGTTACATAAAGCAAAGTTAGATGTAATTATGCCTTGGAAGTTATATTATTTGTATTGATTCTTAATGTATTTTTTTGTTATTATTTTTGCTTGCTTATGTGTCTCTTCTAAATTATTCTGTGTGCAGGTGACTGCTGTGGGGATCAATACTGAATGGGGATTATTGATGGCCAGTATATCGGAAGGCAGTGGTGAACAAACTCCATTATAGGTTTTTTGTGGCCCATTTTATTATTGATTTGATTATGATTCCTCTAAAAAGGTGTGCTTGAATGGTGTTGCTGCTTTAACCGGCATAGTAGGGCTCTTTGTTGCCGCGTTGGTTCTTGTTTCCCTTATAATCATAAGGACAACATGAATCCAAGATATAATTTAATTTTAGGTCTTGCAAACTGAAGACTTGAGATATAATTTTCTGATTCTTCACTGGTCATACAAAGAATTTTGATGGAAGTGTTCAATTTGTCAAGGGGCATACAAGTATGAAAGATGTTGTAGATGGAGCTGTTAAGATTTTGACTGTTATAGTATGTATCCATATGAAAGACTTGGATTTTGTTATTCTAGTTACTAATTAACCTGTGAATTATAAATAGGTGACTATTATGGTTGTTGTTGTACCTGAAGGTCTTCCATTGGCTGTTACATTGACGTAAGTGTTGATTGTATTCCTTTCTTGATGATATGACGTCAAGTTCTTCATGATTCTCATGGTTAATTGATTTTCCCAATTTCAGTCTTACCTACTCAATGAAGAAGATGGCAAACAAAGCATTGATATGCTTCTCTTCTTATCAAACTAGAATCCATACGTTCAACTATTAGTAAGTTGCTACGTTACAGCTTCAGAGGCTATCAGCTTGTGAAATGATTGGATCTACCACTACCATCTGCAACGATAAGAACTCTAACATTGAATCAGGTATCATTGTCTATGCTTCCATCACATTATTGTTACTATTGTATTTTAATTTTCCTCTGGATTTTAGTTTTAAAAATTAGATAGTTTTGCTTTTGATGATTTCTAGAGTGACACTGTTATTGGGAGTTGGGTAGATTAATCATATATGTTATCCTATTAAACATGGTCATCTTAAGTTCCAATTGATTTTGTATTGTGGAAGCTCATGTGGGTGGGGTAAAGCTAACTTCTCCAGATAATGGCCAAGAGTTATTATCTTCAGTATATTCTTTATTGTATGAAAGCATTGCATAGAATGCCAGTGGTAATGTGTATGAGTCAGAGGTAACTTTTTTTTTATTGAAGCCCTTCACCCTTGTTCAAATAGGTTGTTGAGTTAGAGATCAAATGACCTATTTTTCTGATGGAAATTTTCATTTCTTTTCAAATAATTTGATAGTTGTTGTCTATTTCTACTATAATGATTTCCAACTCTATTCTTCAAAGTTTTACCCCAAATTTGTTATTTTAGGGTGCTCTATTTGTGCATTTGTTATGAAAAAAACAACCGACAACAGAATATAACCCGATATTTAAAACCCCATGATTTACATATACTAAAACTCTCTGATTTTACACAAAACTAAACTAGTGTGTGGTGGACAGTTGCATGTTTGCTTAGGATAGCCTGAATGTTAGCTCTGGTTAGTCTTTAAGAAAAATTCTTCTACTTGACATAAAATAAAAAATTCTTTAAATAACATCGAAAGATTAGTAATTAGAAGGATGTAAATGATGTTCGGCCAAGTCCATAACATATTGGTTCCATTCCTTTTTTAGGCAACTCTCCGTCTCGAGGTTCTGGTCAGACCATCTGACTTATTAGGCTGCAGTTCTATCTTAGGATAGGCCTACTCCATAGAATAAAGCTTTTTAAAACCTTTTTTTTTTTTAATTTCAAGTCATACAAATTTATATATATAACTAGCATGCATTGTATTAATAACCTACCAAAAAAAATGATAATTGCATCTATTTTAGAATAATGATCTACCATTCATAGTCTGAGGCCATTTAGGAATTCTTAGTTGTCTGTCCCAAATTTTTAATTAAACAATAGCCTGCCTTAATTTGCATTTCATTTAGATTGAACATTATGGTTTTAAAATGTTAGGTGAAGTTTAACTGATAGTTCTATCTAGGCAGAATCATAAGTCCATAAGAGTCAGGCTTTCTTAAATCCTTAGCATTGTAAGAGGTACAAGTCCCATTGCATTTTTAGATAAGGTTCAAGCCACTATCCTATAGTGACTCACCTTAGCTCTAGGTTATGAGGTTAATTCCAATATTATATGTCCTCACGTCCTGGACATTGCCCTGATTTAGTGATCAGAAATATAAGTTTCTGTTTTTTAATAAAATAACAACTTTAACAAAAATAAGTCTCATTTTAAAACCTTAAAGCCCAACTAGAAAAATCTGCTCAACCCTGAGGCATTCCAATTTAAAAAATTCAATACTTTTTATTATTGTCTTAAATTTTAAAATCCTGAAAAAAAATTTCACTGCTTTAGTCGAGAGTGTTCTCGAGAGATTCACCAATCTTGGGATGTAATTAAACATAAAGGATGGTGTATTTTTTCTCATTTTATTAAATTGCTTTATATATCTTCATATTTTATCCATCACATCATTGAATAAATGCATATTCCATTATAGAGATCCCAATAAACTATTTTCTTTATTTTCCTGAGTTAATTGTTCAATGTTATCTTTTTTGTATGTTTGTTTGAACATGATTGCTCAAGTGCACATGGGAATGCTTACCCTTTTGTTCTAATATTAGTTTTTCATATTATTTATTCTTAAATTATGGAATAATGTTAGGTAATGACTTTATCATTGCTGCTTTACATTTAAGTCTACACTTTCACTTGAGATTTCTGTCATTTTTGTTTCTATTCTATCCATTTTTGTTCCTTTTTTCATATATTTTATAAATTATTGACTCTACTATTTCATTTATTATTCATAGTTAGTAGGTTTATGGTAAATGAAAATGAATATTTTTCTCCACCTTTATTGCATGATATAAACCATTTATTTTTCTTGTGGGCAATTCTATTATTTGGGGGCTTTTCTATAATTGTTTGGAAGTACTGCATATAACTCCCCCAGACTTGGATAAATGCATTGCACATGGAAAAAATCCTCTTTCTCTATCTCATTGAAGCAACTCCTCTTCCTTGGAAACCTATCTTTAGAAGCCACTGTCTCTTTTTGAGACCTCCCTCTCTTAGGAACATTTGATTGTCTTAAAAATCTCTCTCTAAGAAACTTTTCTCTCTTTTTATGGCTCTTAAAATTCTCTCATATATTCACTCCCTCTCTTAAAGCTTCTTATTTCTCCCATTATCTCCCTTGGAAACCTCACTTTCTTAGAAGCTTCTCTTTCTGAATTAAAAGACTCTCTCATAAAAGCCCGTCTATCTCACCCTTAAAATCATTTTAATCTCTCTATGAAGCTTTTCTCCTTAAAGGCTCTTTCTCTTCCTTCAAAACTTTTCTCTTAGAAGCTACTTTTTCTTTTTCATTAGAATCTTATTTGTATTTTAGAAGCCTCTCTCTCTCTCTCCCTTACAAAATTATATTTCTCTTTTAAAAGTGTCTCTATGTTAAAAAACTTCTCTATCTCTTATAAGCCTCACTTTCTCTAAAATTTCTCTTACTCTTATTTAGAAGCTTCTCTCTCTCATAATCCTATCTCTTAAGAGCTCCTCTCTCTTTATGATTCTCTATTACTCTCTCTTAGAAGGCTCATTATCTTTGATGCTTTTCTACAATTTCTCGTTTTGACTTTATAAGAATCCTTTCTCCATGTTTTTACTCTATCTCTTTCATAAACTCTCTTTATCTCTATCTCCATCTTTCACAAGTCTCTTTCACTCTCTTAGAAGCCTCTTTCTCTCGGATATGCCCTCCTCTCTTTATTATAAAAGGTCCCTATTGCTATTTAAGAGGTCTCTCTCTCACATAAGCTCCCTATCTCTCAAAGAAATATCTCTCTCTAAAGCATTTCTCATGTAAAAGGGTTACTCTCAAAAGCCTTTCTTTCTCCCTCCCTCTCTTTCACTCTTTCTCTCTCTCTTCGAAGCATCTTTCTCGTAGAATCTTGTATCTCTTTTTTTATTCATAAAAGCACTTCTATATCTTAAAACCCTCCCTCCTCTCTCTCTTAAAAGCCTCTCTAACTCTCTCCATCTTTCTTACAAGCTTTTCTCTTATACATTCCCTCTTTTAGAAGTCTCTCTCTCTCATAGAAGCATCACTCTTACCCTCTCTCTTTTATAAGCCTCTCTCTACCTCTATCCCACTTTCTTTAAAGCCTTTCTCCCATTCTCACTATTTATCTTTTTTATTTAGAAGCTTCTCCCTCCATCTTGGAAGCTAATATCGCTCTTAAAAGCATCTTGCTGTTTGAACATCCTCTCTCTTTATTAGGCATTCTCTCTAGGGATTTTTGTATAAAATCAGTGAGAAAAACCCCCAAAAATCTGCATTTATTCTTCACAAAATAGGTAAGACAAGCTCCATAAAAATTGTAGGAATTTTTGCAAAGAAGATAGACTCGTCAACATATCTTTTAGAGAATAAGATCCCACAGAAAGCTCGCACATACGCACCACATTATCCTACTAAGACATTTCATCAAGCAATTAACATGCGGGGCTACAAAAATGTATAGAATGAGGATCATTTATATATATAATATCAAGTTATGAAAATGTACATGCCACCCATCAATAATCACTACTAAAAAAATTAGATATGTACACAATCATGAGGCCAGAACACCCAGGGAGGGTACGTACACAGGGTTTTGGGGTCACTCCAAGCAGATATTTTCCTCATAGCACCACGACTCAAGGCAGCAGTAGTGGAGACAATATTGCATTTGATCGAGTTGTAAGACTTGAGGAGGTGGTGCAAACACTACAAAGTGAGGTCAGACAATTCATGAAAAATTATCAGGGACAACATCCACCACAAGGAAGCTCAACTATGGTATTTAAAATTATAAAATTAGATATTTTCATTTATTAATGTATTTATCACCTTTATTTTTATTAATGACTTCTATATTAATAACAGGGAGATAATGATTAATTTTCGCCTAATTGACATCCAAAGTGTAGAAGAATGGAAGGCATAGTATAAATGGGTATGATATTTTCATTATGTATGGCCAATGTTTTGAAATATTAAAGGATTTTGTTCATTAAGAGAAGTGCAGACTATTTAGTTCAAAGTTGTTGAATATATACAATTATAATTTTGTTTTAAGTTCTTGGTTGAAAGTTATGGATTTTGTCGCACATTTGTCAAGCAAAAATGTGTTGATTCATGAAAACTTGCTGCGTATTCCTGGGCAATAATAAGAATTAATGTTTTCCCTACTATAGCAATAACGTTTCTTTTGCGTATTATTGTGAAACAACTGGCATTTTCGCATGCATGGCCTAGTCAATTTTAACCTTTTGCAATAATTGATGTTTCGAGGATTGCCTGGAACTTCTCTAGCAACTTATTATGTTAATGTTTTTAAAGTTTTGTTCTTCAAGACAGGTTAGAATGCTGGATATATGTTCTATGTAGTGGATTTTAGCAATGCTACTTGGGTTATAATAAGAATGTGCTCTTCTTTAACAAGTTGATATTTTAAATCAACCTCTTTATATATGTGGCCATCAACAGCAAGTTTATGTATTTCTAATCAACATAAATTGAGTTATTTATGAATTTAATGCTTTGAATTTCTGTTTGTAGTATATTCTCATTTTATTCTCAAACGTATGTCATCTTAGGCTCTTGCAGAAATTAGAAAACTGGTGAGTTTTGTCCCTCGTTAAACTATTTGTTAGCATTTGGTTTGGAAAGAGACTTGCTCTTAACCATGCTACTTTTTATAGACAATATATTTTCATCATTATTTGTCTTGGTGTTACCCTTTAATGTTAAAACTTGCTGCCTTTTTCTAGTTAAGAGAGGATCTGCTCCTACTGAGTCCATCAGGTAAAGCTCCCAATTCATAATCTGAAGCTACCAGAGTATGTGAAAGACATTCTAAAATCCCTAAGGTTATAATTGCTGGTCAAGAGCGACGTTTTGACATTGAAGCCAATGAAGAAGCAGTGATGTGATTGTTATGCATGGGCTTTCTTTGTGTGCCTCATTTGGATTTAAACTATTGTCTTCTTGATACTGGTGGCCTAAAAAATTTTATAGATTGTGATGAAGAGAACGCCCCTTACATGAAATATGAAAAAGATGTGCTATGTCTTGGAGGCCACTCTTTAAGGATTTTTCGATGTAAGTTTTTTTTTGATGGCATTATACTTGTAGAACATCCTGAACGTCAACTTATTAGTCTTGGTTATAACTGTGTCATTTTTTCGCATTGTCATAGTTACATAAATCATAAAAAATGTTCTCATATGCATCAAGACTTATTTTCTTTTTGCTAGATTTCAAGTATCTTAAACCTAGTTTTCTTGAACATAATGAATGGTTCTCAGCTTTGAGGTACACAATTGATCTCTATCCATGTCAGCTTGTTTTTCTTTTCCAATTACAATAAATTTATTGTAAATGTAGTAATAATTTAGAAATCAAATAACCTTGTAGTTGGCGTTTTTCCTATCAATAAAAATAGATGCAAGAAAATTTAATGTGCCTCATTCTAGTTTTGATATTTGTGGAAGTTTCGATATCATTTTTCTTTTCCTTACAGTTTTACTTCTATATTTTGTTATTTGTTTTTATATTTAATATTATTTAATAATGAAATTTATAACATATAGATTTATTTTTTATTTAAATATTATAATGAAGCTAACTAGATTTGGATGCAATAGGTGGATTTAAGGGGGCATGATTTTACCCTCTTAAATTTTAAGATATGAAATATTTTTGTTTGCATAAATAGAATTATCATAAAAATATTTAATATGCGCTACAAAGAAAAATTTCTGGATCTGCCAATGTTTGGATGGTAATTTTAATAAAATGGACAGATTATTTATGAATAAAAGAGATCGTTGTACTGTTGGTTAGAGTTATTCAAAACCTCCAAAATCTAGGTTCAAATTCACCTGAAGATGGCTGAGCTGGCATGCAACTAGAGTCTACATGCGTATCCATGGCCATCAGCTTACACAGACCGAAATCTGCCCATATCAGTCAATATGGATGGAGTTCGACTAAAATCATGTTTTCATGTCTTGGTGGTTTAATTTTTAAAGTTCTTTAAGCAAAAAATTATCTTAATTTGCTAAACAATTATTCTACAATGATTTTTCTGTTTTTTTATTGTTTGCTTCCTTTATTTGATGTTCTTCCTACTGTTTGTGCTGTAGAGACATAAAGAAATGAAGAAGATTTTCATCTTGTTGCATGATGAGTTGAAGGTATTGGGATTGATTGACAAAAAATGATTCTCTATTGGCGCCTTTTCTCGTGCATTTTTTTTTAAACAATATTATTAGAACATAATCCTTGAACAACATCACCTGGAAAGAAAATCTCCAACAATAACTACGAAATCTACATGTTTTGTAAACATTAAAACAGAGAATTGAGGATTTTGCTGCGGCACATTTAGGAGAATGACAATTAATCGAGTTCTTTTCAAGGTCGGCTATTTATCTATTTCCATTTCATCTTTATTATACTATTCACTGTTCAATACAGACTCACAAGTAAATATCTTCTAGAAGCGGCTGGAATAGAAGCTGGGTTTGCTATGAAACCAGCTGTGTATATCAAGAAAGATACACACATCAACAGGGAATTGAGATATAACTATCATTCAAATGGGATTTTATTTTAGTGAGCTAGTGAAACCTCTCTAAATTTATAGGATATGGCTTAGTTTCTTTTGTCTATGTTCCTTTCAATTCTTTCTTGATGCGGCTTGACTCAACATCCAGTTTTATGGTTGAATGGACCGTGTTCGGAAGGACCATCTTCGACGGGGGCGTATCCCGCAGACTACGGCCTCTCTGACCACCTTCGTCTGTCAATGGTCCCTCCGACCTCAGTCACCCGCTGACTACGGTTTCTCCAAACTCCATCCCTCCGGCCTCTCTGACCGTAATAGGGCGACAGAGGTTGAATGGACCGTGTTCGGAAGGACCATCTTCGACGGGTGCGTATCCCGCAGACTACGGCCTCTCTGACCACCTTCGTCTGTCAATGGTCCCTCCGACCTCAGTCACCCGCTGACTACGGTTTCTCCAAACTCCATCACCCGTCGAAGATGGTCCTTCCGAACACGGTCCATTCAACCTCTGTCGCCCTATTACGGTCCTTCCGACCACCGTCGCCTGACAACGGTCCCTTCGATCTTTGTCGCCCGCCGACTATGGTCCCCTTGACCTCCGTCGCCTGACAACGGTCCCTCCAACCTCAGTCGTCTGACTACGGCTCCTTCGTCCTCCGTCACCTGACTACGGTCCTACCTATCAAACAAACAAGTCAACATACGCTTGAGAACAACTCTCACATCGTTAGATTCTTCTAGCTCCAACCATGTAATATGCTTTATATGATGTATATTTACACGTGTCAACACCTATTCCAGAGGAAGGGCATCATTTGTAATCAACAACAAACACTAGTGGGATCATTGTAGCTGAGCTAGGCTTCATAGTTTTTCCTTTTTAAGACTTTTCACATAGAAATTATGGTGTCTTTTATGATTGTTGCACCACTCTCTCTTATCTATGCGTGCGTCTAATTTTCATATAAAATTAGGACGCTAAACTTTTTATCTCTCTATCGCTGTGAATATTCTGGCATGCAACAATAACCACAAATTTCTCCCTTTTTGTAATTTAGAATATAAAAACAGCGATTTATACCTCAATCTGAATCCCTAGTGTTGCAAAAATCTGTGCAAGATAGGATAGCTTCAGCTATTTGCAGACGCAATATCTGCACAGGAAGAAAATGGAAGCCCACATATCCCGCTGAATAGGAAGCCTGTGAATTATTATAACTTAGGTAACCCGCCAGCCAAGCTATTTAACTACTGTTTGCATTCAATTGAATAACCCTGTTGGCCAATTTTAACTTCAGGGGCTATAACTCGCAGCCAATCCAACGCCAAATCACTGCCAACAAGCTTCCAAGACCACATCCCAAACAAACCAAAGCTTCAGCGAAACATTGCCGTGTAGAACCCAAACATGGGAAATTAATCCACTGTGTAAAGCTCTGAAAAACCACCATCTAAGGCTCCTCCGCAACTACACACCTCAGTAAATGTAGAAAGAAGAGTTGCCTAAAGGAAATTTAGAGAATTCAACATATTCTCATATTATATAAAGTCGTAAGAATGATTAAAAGGAAAATTTTTAAAAAAATTGACATCCCTAGAAAATGGAGAAAATATCAGCATAAAATAAACCAAAGAAAAACTAGCATGTATATTGTCAATTTAATTACTAGAGGTGGTTGGTTATGATGAGAAAAAATTAAATTTCATGTTGGTATGAATCTACGATCTCTTTAATAAAATTATTCTAAATAGCTTAACGATTAGTTGTTAGGAATTAAGCATTTTTGATGAAATATAAGAGTTTTAGATTTTTAGTTTAAGGTAATCATCATTAACAAATCCTTTAAAACATTGATGTAATTTAAATCTTTTTATGAGATTGTTTTTAAGAATTTGTAAATCAAGAAATCAAAATTCAGAAAAGAAAATTGATATTATTTTAATTATTCTCCATAAAAGAATAATGTAAGTAGATAATAAATATCTCACGATTTCTTTTATATGTTTTTTTGATTGATTATTCAAGTATTGACTGCGAGAACATCAGAATTTATCAGAGATGCGCTATCTTCTATTTACCATAGAGTTAACCATAACCTATCTAATCAAGATTTTTGATTTTACTGCTTTGACATTTACTTTTACTTATCAGGGAAAGTTGCGGAGTTTGACAGCCCACATAGACTTTTGGAGGACAAGACATCAATGTTTATGAAACTAGTCTCTGAATACTCTATAAGGTCAAGCAGCATTCCAGATGCTTGAGCAAGAGCCTCTTTATTACATTATGAAAACTGAAAGATGAACGAAGAACTGAGGCTGTACCAAGCTGTGCACAGTTGACAATGGGAAGTCGTCAAAATGTAATAAAGAGGATCATTGGAAGTTCTATTAGGCCTTCAAGGAAGATGAATGGAGAGGCAGTTAACTGCCTCGTAGAGTTGAAAGCTTTCTTTTCGGAAGTTAACTGTAACTGCTGAATCCGATTCTTTAGTGAAGTTGAAATAATAGGAGAGTCCAACAAGTAGGTCATAGGAATTAATTTTGACGTGTAAAATCATTGAACTTCACCTTTAAATTTTGGTTAGAAATGGTTTTTATTATAGATTTTGTATTTCAAGATGTTTTGGATGAGGTTTAATGAGAAAGATATAAAGCAGTTTTCTGTTCTGCTTGCCCCTAATTCATCTCCCTTTCAAATGGCCATTATTCACTTTAAGGTTTATGCTGTATCTTCAAAATTTTCTATATTCATTACCGGCCTAGAACAGAGAGATGTTCAAAGGAGGAAGCTTTATGGAAGATCAAAATGCTTTCTCTGATGACAACAGATCTGAACAGAAGAGCTGGGCTTGACAAAATAGGGTATTCTAAGTTCTGAAGTCTCTTATTTATCTGGAGATTCTTTTAAGTATATGCTTCTTGAGGACATCTAGTGCATTGGTTTTTCTAGGAGCTTTTAATCTGCAAAATAGGCCTTTTCCTTGTTGTTTTTGCAATTTTAAAGATTTGAGGGTGTCTAAGACTTAGTAAAAGATAATCACATGACTATGGCTTCATTTGGGACAGTTTTTTTATTGCTTCTTAAAACAGTTTTCTAGTACAATAATTTTAAGTTTTATATTAAAAAGCTGCTTTAAGAAGCAGCAAGAAAGCCATCCCAAACGAAGTCTAAATTAGATTGTTTGGTCTCTTGTATGTGTAATACGTATATTTAAATAAATATTTGATTTGTTAATAGCCAACAACAACAACAACAAGCCTTTGTCCCGCTAAGTGGGGTCGGCTACATGAATTATTTGTCTCTATTGTGTCCTGTTAAAAGTCAAACTCTCGTTTAAGTCTAATAAAGAAAGATCATTTCTAATATTTTCTAACCAAGTTTTTTTGGGTCTATCTTTACCTTTTTTAACATAAGTCAAAACTAATACCTCTACTTTTCTAACCGGGTCATCGGACGGCCACCTTTTTATGTGACCAAACCATCTAAGTCGACTCTCTCTAATCTTATCTTCCACTGGAGCTATTCTAACCTTTTCACGTATATGCTCATTTCGTATCATGTCTCTAAGGGTAAAGCCACTCATCTATCTAAGCATCCTCATTTCTGCAACACTTAACTTAGTATTATGCTTCTCTTTTAATGGACAGCATAAAATGAAATAATATGAATAGAAATCTTAGGTAATTATGTAGTTTAAATTGCAAATATGTTGAAGTTGATTTAGATTATGGGTCTATTTGAGATGGCTGCAATTTTTTATAAATCTGGTTGTAAAGTTGTTGGGAAGAAAATAATTTTTAAAAAAAATTGCTGTAAATCTTAGCACAAAAATTATTAAAAATAGTTAAAAAATAGTGATCAAATAAAAATTACAATTGTAATATACAGAAGAAAGTTATCTCAAATGAAGTCTATCTCAACCATTTTAGCAGAAAATAGTTATGATTGATTACTTAAAATAAAATTAAATTCTTTATGATGTTATGAATAAAAACACCATTGTAAAAATAAAATTATTATTTTACTTTATCTAGATAATATTCCTATTGAATAGTCCAACACTGAATCAATCCAATCCTCACATGCCAGAATCAGATTATTTGAAAATAAGAATTAGAAGAAGGAATCTTCAGTGCTTGATGCTTGTATCTTATTCCACTAGCTATGTAATCATGTGATATCCAGCTCTATTACACAACTGGTGCCTTTCTTTTAGAATTCATCTTCTGCCTTAAAAAAATATTTATATTTTAATTTTAAAATGAGTCATATTGAGGGTCCGTTTAAGACGACTGCAGCTATTTATAAAAGTGATTATAAAATTATTGTGGAGAAAGTAATTTTTTTTTTAAGTTGCTGTAAAAAATAGCTTCTTAGCATAAAAATTTTCTAAAAACAATAAAAAGGCAGTGTGCAAATAGAAACTAACTACTCTCTTAAAAATAAAGCAGTAAAAAAATTATCCCAAAATGAAATCTAAATTGATTTGTAATAATATTTTGCATAAACTCTTTTGTTGTGTTGCAGGCACCTTTATTTTTTTTATTAGTCATAATGAATTTAATATTCTTATATAATATTACTATATTAAAAACAAAAAAAAGAGTGAATATGACTTTTTAGTCCTTATGTATAAAACTATAGACTTAAAGTCTATTAAAGTTCTTCAATGATAAACAAATTAGGCATTGTCTTCTTTATTCCAATATTAAAATAATAATTTAATTAATTTCTAAATAAATATAATTAGTTCTTATAAATATTCTTAGAGATTCTTTTTTTTTTTTTTTGAAATTCTTATAGATATTGGGTTTGTTAATGCACTAATATTACTAGAATTTAGTATGAAATGTTGACATATCAATTTAGTAGTATTACCTGCCTTTCAATTCAAATAAATTTGTTATTCTTTAAACTAATATTTTATCTAATTTTTCGTCCAATCAATTATTACTGAAACAAAATTATAAAATTAGTTGATTAGCTCCTCAAGACTCTGTCTCACCATATTTGAGGGCAATTAGAAAGAAAAAGCAGGGAAGTTGTTAACAAGAGTACAATTTTCCATTGGAAATATGGGAATGAATGAATGTTGTTAAGGGACCACCGCTTTAAGAATTTAGTAGTGATTATGACAAAGATGGAACTTCAATCTTATTTCAAATTCCTTAGTCTAAAGCAAACCAAACACTCATTTCACCCTCTTCTAACGACTAAGTATTAAGGAATTTGGATGTGCAATAATATCCACTTATCTTGTTCTTCTCATTATGAATGGTTATAAACTCATGAACAAAATCTTTTTACTATCATAATAAGATTAAAAAAAAAACAATAAAAATAATCAAAACAGTAAGGTTTCATTTGGACAGCTTTAAATCACTTCTTTTTTCTATTTTTTAAGAGATTTTTGTACTAAAAATCAGCTTTACGAAGCAGTAATGTCCCAAACAAAGCCTAAGATAGATCAATTTTAGGCTATGATAAATAAGGGTATTAAATATTATTTTCCGGTGCAAAATAATTATCTTATAATTTTGATGAATCCATTTTGAACATGTATATTATATTATTGATATATTTTTGTAGCACACTCCTGATACAAAAGTTTTTCCTGACAAGCGATCATGTGTGGGTGGCTCATATATATGGATAAATAGATATAAAAGATGGGATGATAGTGGACTATGCTGCTTTTTCTTTGATAATTTTTTGTTGGAAATTTGACATGGTTAGGACTAATGGGTGAAGCTTTTTCCTCTAAATTTTCTACTCTTCACAAAAATACAAATCATATTCTAAAGAAAGTGATGCATGTGATAAAAGATAGGGGAGAAATTTGTTATAACTCATATGCGAATTTAAGAGGACTTGGATCTAGGCTTATTGTCAAATAAAGTTTGCTTGATTAGTTGGACTATCAAATCCTCTAAGCAAGTCAAAATCAAGCCCCAATTCAGTTGTTCTCGGGTTTAACCCATAGGCCAAATTTTGAATGTAGCTAAGCTCAAGCTTATTCATATTTTATTTCATGTTAGTGTCTAATATTTTGATTATTAGACAAGACTTAATATAATTTGGAATTTCTAACCCAAATTTGATGGGATTTTATTATTATTTTGATATATTTGTAATTTAAAATTGATCAAATTTGTATAGAATTTTGTTATTAGGTGGCTTGGTACTCTTATGTTAGATAGTGATTATCATTTAACAAGTGTGGCTTATCCATAATATCTTGTTTGTACTAAGAAAATGGGTTAGGTCGGGATGGATCCTAGCCTGATTTCAAAATTGGGCTTAACTTGAGCTCGACATATTCGAGCTAGAGCCCCAGCATGGAGTCATTTAGTCTGAATTCAGTTTGATTCTTCCCCTCATAAGGGCCAATTCTTTCGACCTGATTGATAAATTTAATTGATCACTAAAATCGGATGATAGTATATGAGGCTCCAACTGATCACCAAGGTATATAAATAGACATTAGTTACTTGTAATTAGAATGGCGAGTTTTGTTTTATATTTTTATACACTACATAAGTATGACGATTTACATGCAAATATATGAATTGGTGACAAGTTTCCTTTTAATATGTGATGTTGACTTTAGACAATTGTGGGTTGATCTATATTTAAGAAATAGCAGTGTGTTGATGACTGACTAAGCTTGGGCTTTAAGAAAAAGAAAATAGTTGAAAATTATGCTCTATTTTTGTGAAAAAAGATTTATGGAGGTGTAATAGAGCTCTATACTAGGTATTCGTTAATTTTATCACGAAATATACTCATCATGCTTTAGTTGGGTAGATTATACTAAATTCTTTTTAATACTGCCAACTTATATTTCATAGTGTTATTTTATCTGTCTTTTAGTAACAAACAAACACCTTCATATAGATTTAGCAGTAAGTTTAAGGTTTCAGAATTTTAAAAGTTAACAGAGATTAGAAAAAATACATCCAAGTTACTAAAATTTGAGATATTACTTGGTAAAGAGACAGAAGGAGAGTCTAGTTTGACAGAGAGGAAAATTGTAATACAAAAGCTGAGGTTTTTCAAGTCATACTTGCCATAAACTCTTTATCGGTGCCATATATTTGGAAGAACTACAGCTCATGAGATTAGATGTTAATCCCTCATCCTCCGAGTAAAATTCAAGAAAAGCTTCAGTGCGTAGAGGACTTTGATTTCTCCACCAATAGAATCCTACCAGTCCACGCAGTTTGGTCCACATCACGTATTACTGTCAACATGTTCATCATTTTCCAAGGATAAAAATCCGAAGCCACAGGAATCACATGTTTTATAAATATTAAAAAGAATAACACGAGACATATCATTTTTTGTTGTAAAACAACATTTTTTAGTACTAAATAGCAGTAAATGACATTATTAAGCATGTGAATTTACAACAAATTCTAAAAGACAGATAAAATAACACTATGAAATATAAGTTGGCAGTATTAAAAAGAATTTAGTATAATCTACCCAACTAAAGCATGATGAGTATATTTCGTGATAAAATTAACGAATACCTAGTATAGAGCTCTATTACACCTCCATAAATCTTTTTTCACAAAAATAGAGCATAATTTTCAACTATTTTCTTTTTCTTAAAGCCCAAGCTTAGTCAGTCATCAACACACTGCTATTTCTTAAATAT